AAATAATCACGATTATGGCATTTCTCTAACGCCCTCTTCGGTGCTTAGAGAAACTATTCCAAAAGTAGCACTTTGAAATCTGTATCTTTGAAAGATATTTACAATGTATTAAAATCGACATCAGTATTATAGACTCCCCGTCACGTGCAAGATATTGCACGTGCGCACTGCTGCGTTGTAAATCTCAGCTCTTAGATTAGCCCTAAAGATACAGCAGCCCTTTAGATGAGTTCGTCGGTTTCCATGGAGTCACGTGGGGTGCGCGCACAGGTCCCGGGATGGGTCGCAGCGGGTTTTGATTTCCGTATCTCGGAAATTCGCGCGAGATTTGATGCAAACGCAGTTCTTTACAAGTACTCAACAGGTAGCGAATCACATACTCCCGATTACACAATTGTGCCTAATCTCAGATAAGATGTATAAATGAAAAACTCTTACCCTCGCAGCTTTTTTGTACAAATGTAAATTTGTTTTTGAAAACAAGCAATGAAATTGCGTCATATTTATACGATATTTAGTACCGTCTTGATGAGTTTATTTGAAAAGATTAAAGTATAGGATGTAAGCTTTTGAAACGTAAACATAAACAGAAATACAGTTTAGATAATTTTGATTTAATGTTCGTGTTTTGGTAGCTTTTTGATGTTTGTAAATAGATGGAAATAAATTTATTTGGACGGACACCTGCTAAAACTGGCTTCTTCCAAACAAATATAATCTGAATTTATTTTTTTTAATTTAAAATTTATAACTCACACCTGAACGTGTATGATGTTGTTGCGCATGTGGGGTTTTCTTCACAGTAAACATAAACGCGTAACCGTTGAGTCAAAACATAATGGTAGGTATTATGCTGACCTTTTGAAAGCTCACAAAATGGCATTAAACACAATTTTATATTATTAATGGTGGAAATGGCCGCAACAAATCACGCCATAATATTATACAATGAATAAAACATTACCTGCACAGTCGGATGGAGTTTATCGCACTGCGCGACCTATTCTAAACAACGCTATTCATTGCGATTTCATAATTCATAGCGAATATCGCAATCTAACACTTAAAAAACAGGGTATGAAATATGAGACCGGTTAGGTATTTGTGTACGTACACCCAGTCTGTCACGTAGGTTTAATGCCTATCCCCCGTAGGTCTGGCGACAGAGCATTCATAATGGGGCGACCGCCTTTCCTCATTAGAATAAAATGACGACATGCGATCACCAAACAGTACGGTTCCTCTGTAACACTGACGACGGGAGTACGTGACCCGTAAAACCAATTATGGTTACTTTTATTTTTGTTAAAGAGGTTACACAGATCGCACTGCATGCTTCCAAAGCCATGTCAAAAGTTGTCTTTTTACAAAATTCCCAAAACAAGTGATGATTCACGAACAATGTATCTCGCCGTAAATGCGTTTAATATGATAGGTCTCGGCACGGCGGGATGTGGTATTCCTTGTGGTATTCCTCATATATCTAAGGCGGATAGTGTCATAACGCTGTCGGGATCCCCCCAGGGAGGCGGTGACTCGACCCCCCGAAACAATCAACCCAGGCAGACGGCACGAGGGTAAGGGTATCGCTTCTCCACCCGTTTGCTCCCTGTTTAAAAATCACAACGAAACTACTCTCAAACTGAGAAAATGACAGCGAGTTTTTTTCATGGCGCCGTTCTCAATGCCACCACCATACTGAGCAGTCTGCTCGATCCGTCGGGTACTTGAGGCTTGTATTCAGCTTTTTAATCTACCCTTAACCCCCTCCCCTCCTTAACTTCATCGGGACACGGTGAAGGTGTAGTGCGTTCATTTGAATGAAACGAGGTACATACGAATCGGAGCCTGATAATTTTGTATGTTGTCTTTAATCGGGTGTATGTGAACAAAATTATGCATAATTTGACAAATAACTGTATGTGAGTAATTTGACGAGAGATTGAACAAACTTTGTTTCGCAGTCTTCCTGGAGATGTTACAGGTTTTACAAACTGATCTGGATTTGGACAACGTGACTGTGGGTGAGAGGTTTAGAAAGGGGCGGGGAATTGGTCAACCGAAATATATACAGTTACTAAATATACGTATTTCAAATTGAAATTCCTCACACCAAAGTAGTAATTGGAAGCTGTAAGTTAATATCTTAAACTCTAAGAGTCCATGTGTGTTTGCGTCTCTCTCTCTCTCTCTCTCTCTCTCTCTCTCTCTCTCTCTCTCTCTCTCTCTCTCTCTCTCTCTCTCTCTCTCTCTCTCTCTCTCTCTCTCTCAGCCTCTCTCTCTCACCCTCTCTCTCTCTCCCTCTCTCTCTCTCTCTCTCTCTCTCTCTCTCTCTCTCTCTCTCTCTCTCTCTCTCAACCTCTCTCTCAGCCTCTCTCTCTCTCTCTCTCTCTCTCTCTCTCTCTCTCTCTCTCTCTCTCCTCTCTCTCAATCTCTCTCTCTCTCTCTCTCTCTCTCTCTCTCTCTCTCTCTCTCTCTCTCTCTCTCTCTCTCTCTCTCTCTCTCTCTCTCTCTCTCTCTCTCTCTCTCTCTCTCTCTCTCTCTCAACCTCTCTCTGTGTATAACCTCAATGCCTGAGTAAATACCATGAACAAAGCCTTCACTGAGATCAGCTTGACTTCTACTAAATTTGAAATCTCTTTCAGTTTTGCTGTAGAAACAGAACAAGTATATTATACACAATAGCACAACAAAAACAGAATATCGTGACAACCAGGGGAGGTAACTGCAGAAGACACGATTATCCAAAATGGCCGCTGATTGGATCTTTCAAACGGGCCACGAGCACTGACCCATAACTTGCCAAAGGTGTTAAACCCAGATCAGTGACAAAGCCGTCATTATCACCTCCTCAAAGCCTTTCTATTGTGCTGCTCAAAGACCTAGTGTTGGTCTGTAGGGTGCTCTTAAACTCGTACAAATAGTGTCGCGAGGTGGCTTTTATTCCGTATAGATTTCCGAAGACTGGGTCAGATTCCTTCGGATAAACGGCCTTCACTGACTATACAGAATCACCCCTTCTACAAGCATATCTCCCTGTCCAGTGTAGTAGAACCAGCTTAGGGTCCCCTGCTGGGTCACGATGCCGTCCACTAAAGGTCCATTCTTGACAATTTTCTAGTCCGGTTAAGACACGGACTTGGACACAAGGTGTTCTCTTACAAACATTAGGCTTCTACTTGACAAGTTGTGTCCAAGAAATAACATTCAATATCTAATTTAGTGCCTGTATGAAAGCAGTTGATCGAGCCTAAAGTGATTACTGGATTGGTCCCGCCAGAGTTAGAATGGTGTCAGTTTCCGGGGAGCGTTCGGAAAATACCATTTTGTGTGTTGATGAGGTAATCCGTTAAGATATGTCGGTATGGCTGATGTGCTCGAGAGGACCAGAATGGAACCTGTTTGCCTGTTACGTTATTCTCACATGAAACATGTGACCGAGCCCCACAACACCGCACGGGAAATACAGACCTACAATAAGGAAATATACTCGCACGGGACCGAGCCCCACAACACCGCACGGGAAATACAGACCTACAAAAAGGAAATACACTCGCACGGGACCGAGCCCCACAACACCGCACGGGAAATACAGACCTACAAAAAGGAAATATACTCGCACGGGACCGAGCCCCACAACACCGAAAGGGGAAATACAGACCTACAAAAAGGAAATATACTCATGGAAACTAGTAAGGGAACACATGAAAGTCAGGGACGTAGCTAGCATTGTAAGCAAAGCCTTGGCTTACACATGATTGTTGCTAAAAAGGTTGGGCAAGCCCTCAAAACTATCTAAATAAAAAGCTTTGCAACTCTGTCGGGCTTACATGAACAAACTGGTTTACTACGCGCCTGAACGTACAAGTGTTCTTTATTCTTTTCCAGGTTTCTTCAAAGCTTTGTATTGCACTGTGGGTAAAAATCTGGAAATAGATAAAGGAACACTTGTACTTTTATGTGTTCCATTATTCGTTTCCATGAGTATATTTTAAAAATACCGTCATTACCATTTATGAGTTACGGAGCTCCTGAAACGTTTTACACCGACATTGCTACCTGACATTGGTCATTGTTCGTTCACCTGTTGCGTTATTCTCACATCAAACCCGTGAAGGTCCGGGTTAGAATATTGGCCTTCAGTAACCCATGCTTGTAGTAAGAGGCGACTAACGGGATCGGGTGGTCAGGCTCGCTGACTTGGTTGACACATGTCATCGGCTCCCAATTGCGCAGATCGATGCTCATGCTGTTGATCACTGGATTGTCTGGTCCAGACTCGATTATTTACAGACCGTCGCCATATAGCTGGAATATTGCTGAGTGCGGCGTAAAACTCAACTAACTCACTCACTCACTCACGTCAAACATGGGGCTCATCCTGAGCTACTCAATTAAACAGTGGAAGTACCTAGAAAAGGTCATATCTTTAAAAATACATATTTTCCATTTATGAGTTATGGAGCTCCCGATATTGTTTACACAGACCACGCTACCTGATATTGGTCATTGTTCGTTCATTTGTTAAGTTATTCTCCCATTAAACATTGGACTCAAACTGCGTTACACAATACCCCAGTGGAAATACAGACCAAGAAATAGGTAATATCTAAACAAAACCAACATAATGTCCCTTTGTGTCTGTTGGGAGCTTCTGAAGCTGCTAAGACCGGCAAGGCTGAGCGGTACTGACTATTGCCCGACTACCTGTTACTATATTGTCTTACTTTTAACATATGGGATTCGCATTTGAGCTACTTAATGCACATAATGCTTTTTGTTAAACACATACCAATCAAGAAAATATCCAAGAAAGCGCCCATATATATGGTTTATGGAACACTTGAAACCATTTATGTAAGCAAGGCTACACGATGCTGAATATTATTCGTATACCATCTCTCGCGTATACCATGTCACCGTATTGATGGGTGTAAAATGGGACTTAAATTTAAGCTATACAGTACCTTCAGAGTACATAAACACCAACAAAGAGGATGAACAAAAATACAAAATTTTATTTGTGAGTTACAATCTTCGTGTATTTTACGATGTTTCCTTGACTATAGGTTTGGTTTACATATTTATATATCAGGACAACTGTTTATCAGGTGTCAACTATACAGAATAAAACCGTATATGTACAAGAGATTTTGGTCCAATCCTGGATTCGAACCTGTTATATAACAGAGTTCACTTCTACACACGCGTACACACTAATTTCATACTGAAACATCAGAGAAATATAGTAATATTTTAATTCCATGCATTTGTGGAAACAGTTACTTACAAAGATTTGCTAAAATTCAAACTGACCCGAGCTCATCACTTGACCAACTGACAAACTGACCCGAGCTCATCACGTGACCAACTGACAAACTGTCACTTGGCCTGAACAGGTGCACAGACATAAGGCTCAAGTCCCCTGAACCATACCCGTGAAGGTCCGGGTTAGAATTGATCTTCAGTAACCCATGCTTGTCGTAAGAGGCGACTAACGGGATCGGGTGGTCAGGCTCGCTGAATTGTTTGACACATGTCATCGGTTCCCAATTGCGCAGATCGATGCTCATGCTGTTGATCACTGGATTGTCAGATCCAGACTGGATTATTTACAGACCGCCACCATATAGCTGGAATATTGCTGAGTGCGGCGTAAAACTAAGCTCTCTCACTCCCTTGAACTGTGCAGTGAGTTCTGGAGATCATTGAAGCGCTTTTTCTCTGACTATACAAAGGAATCATGTTGCAATCTCACAGCGTAGGTAACGCTAAACTAACAGGTTTGGGAAGAACATATCTCATGAGGACTCACTTGATATCAGGTTCCCTCACGAGGTATCTACGTTAGGAATATCGATATGCCCCGCCGCAGATAGCTACAAGATTGTTGATACGGCATAAAGCAATATTCAGTCTCTTACCAAAACAAACTTTAGGATTATGTTCAAATTTATAATGAAAGAATATTTCCTGATTCTAAGAATGGCCAATACATTAGTTGTAGAATGGTATGCGTTGTGTATCTTTGCGCATGTGGATTGTATGGACGATGTAACATCTTATGTCATGAAATTAACGCTCAAACAAAGATAAGAAAATCCCATTCTATACAACAAATGATCATCCGTCCTTTATCATTTAAACAAAGCAGTCGGGACTGTGATATATGGTGAAAGTATAGCTGTTCATAATAAACTTAATTGGTAATAGTTACACAAACACGCACGCACGTTACAACATGCACACACACGCATAAGCACGCGCGTACGCATACGCATACAAACACACAGACACGCATTTTAGGGACAACGTTTCCACCTTCATCAGGGATGAAGATGAGAACAACTACCTTAAAATACCGTTAAGAGAAATAGATAAAGAAACTCGTTACAAACACCCTAGAGTGCCACCCAAAGTCCCTACATAGACATTCAACAGCACACACACACCAAATCACAAAAAGTAACAATAAATTAAAAATACTGAAATTTCTTGCAAATTACCCTCAAGTTTTGTTACTAACTTGAAACCGGTAACTATCCAAACCATTTGAAATACTGAAGTAATCTGCTGGTAAAAACACCCAGGACTATAGTCACCCCATGTTAATTTACCGTAATCTTTTTATCGTCTATTGCCGCTCTATAGATGGCTGGTGGGGTGAGATCTTATCACTGTCGGACCAGATGAAACCAATATGAGCCTTGGTGGGTATCAAATCTTTCCACAAAATATTTCAATAACGACCGCCATGATCTGTTTAAGTGGTGTATAATTTTTGGCTTCGGCTCTAAATCCCTTTAAAAGATCCCATTTTCTATCGCATTTCGTCTCCTATCTAAACCTCAAAGCTTTAGCCGAACTAAAAGACATGAAAAGATTTGAACACGGAGGGCAGGTTAGATGTACAACATGGCGCTTAAGTGTAGATTTAAAAGTTGGATCTGTGAATGAAACGAAGCAAATGTCGGCCAGGTGTAAGAAATCCGAGCCGGGTGAGTACTCGGGTGAACAGAGCTTGTAACAGTCGCAGCGAGTACGAGTGACAGAGTGATAAATGAGCGAACTGAGAAGAAACGGAAAATGAATCACTTTGTGGCAGACGTCATTCAAATCGGAGCAATCGGGTGTCGTCTTCGGCCCGGTTGACCCAAAATCAGTGACAGGTATGCCTGAAACGAAATTTCATCTGTGAAATCGTTGGAAAGAAGATATGTGTCGAGTCGAGAAACTAGCTGTCTGATTTCTTGTTACAGAATAACAGCTACTTGTGTACGTACTGCCAACTGACCCGTCGGGTTGTCACGAAAAGTGTTAATGCTGATAGTATGGTATTAGACTATTAAATACAGGGAGCTCTTTGTCGTCACTGGGGGGATTGCCCTTGATAGCCGTGAAATTCTATATCGGGGAATGCATATCTTTTGTTGAAGGGTGACCCATTATCAATGCAAAATAAGGTGGTTTATCACAAAACCGCTTCAGCAGATTGAATTATACTTCGAATAACTTGCACTCTGTGGCCATGTTTTACACATTTGTTCGATTCAACGGTCCAAATGTTTCATGATATGGGAAGCAATTGGAATACTGCGTCGGGCGTCAAACAATTAACAAACAAACGAGCAATAATATTTGCTTACAACATTGATAAAGTTGGCTCTTCCAGCCATTTTACTTTAACAAATTCCTTGTGTATGGTTAGCCTTAACACGTGATGTGTGCACGCAATACAATGTCAGATATGAATTAATGTCACCATTTCACTAAATGAATAAATTATTTCCGTCAAGTTGTGTCTAATGCTTTTTTGAAAAGTTCTACCCAATGGGTACATAACGGTGTATTTCGTCCTTAGAGATCAGTTTTACGCTGTGAGCGAAACACATTCAATCCACATACTACTCGGTGGGGAATCCTCGTCACGTGCAGGGTACATGCTTCAAATTTTTAAAACTCAATATTCAAAGATTAAGTGCAAGAGCAAAAATCAGTTGAATTCAAGGCACAAAGCATTATGATTATAAATATAAGAATTCAGCTAGTTGCTGTCACGTGGACAAATCACGTGATCCACAACGATCCTTTTTGTCAAAGATAAGGGTAACAAGATAAGAGGTTCACGTACAGGAATGTATCCCGAAGGTTCATTCCGATTCACTCGATTGAGGGTCGTATTTGTCTATTTTCTGAAATTTATCGTTAAATTCCTGACAGAACGTAGCATATCAACAGAACTAAAACTGTCGTTTGATTCCATCAAGCAAAAAACTTTCCGTTTCGCGAAGCAGACGACATGATAAGAAAAGGCGGGGAAATGGCAGAGCAAACGAACCCCATCCTCTCACTATTGTCTGCAGTAATTAAAATGTCTGCTTATAACATAAAATCAATGAAATGGATAAAGACGTTTTATTTCTCCGAGATTCAATGCCCGGCAAGATTACCCTGTCTCTCAATGATTAGAGAGCTGGTTTCGACCAAATATTACCAACTCCGTTGTAATTTTAGCAAGCAGTGAGAATCGCTCAAACCCTGTCTGGAGTTGACACATCATAGTGTTCCGCCGCATGGACTCAAGACCTGGGGCGACGCTGCTGAGAAGTTGTTAAAGAAATAAGCGACGAAGCATAGTTTGGTGATGTGTTACCCAGAGAGATACAAGTCCACGGCATAACACGCCACCCCAGGAGAGAATCTCAAACCTGAATGACAAATAAATGTCTGGCAAATGCCTCCATCCTCATTCAAACTTAAGACAACGCTGGCGGAACACGGCCATTCCCTTTTATGCAATTCCATAACTGCGATATTTCTAAGTTAATATTGACGGATTAACATCAGCCGTAGCGTGGATTGTTCTAATCCCTAACACCTTAGTTTACGGATTAACTGTTAAGTCGAACAGGTGAATTTAATGGTGATCAGGATTAATCGATAATTACAGGTAAGATTTATGGAAATGTTTCCGTATGTGACATTGTTTTCATGTGTCATGCTGATGTCACGTACGTGCGTGTCCTTGTCGCTAATCAACATTATGTCACGGTGTAAAGTCATTCTATTGTACAAATCATCATGAGCATATTGTTCGTCCTGGGTTAAAAAATATTCATCTTTCAGCATCATAACCATCCGTTTTTAAAAAAATGTAAAATGTGATATTTTGCAGCATAACATTTCATTTGTGTTCGTTTGATAAAGTCATTTCAACAGAAATAAACACATCTCATCAAAATCTCAGATGAATACATTTAATGAAACAAGATTACATTTTTCTCCGACTTTCTACACGCCCACATTTCACCGTGAAAATCTCATTCCATCAATTACGATATGTACACTACACACACATTGTTATAAATATCAATTTTATACCTCCGTTCCGAGGTCAAACGGCAAAATGCAATGGCCCCCAACAGAGCTTCAATTACAAACTAGCGAACACATGTTTACTGATAAGATACAATTTGTTGACTTCAGATTTCATTAGTCGACGGTTAAATGCTTCTCTGGCGCTCTGTTGTTCATTCATTAAATTGCATCATTTTCAAACACATGATTTCACCTGGTAAGCGATAAAACCCAAGCAAACATACAAAGTAAAGCATATATTCATATTCCGTGAATGTTGACGATTCATGTTTTTAATATTTCGTTTGCTGTCAATTTATCTGAAACAGATCAATTCACTGAAACGTCAATAAGGACGCTGAGATGTGTGTGGCATGGCTTTCAACCAGATTTCACCATTTAGATTTTCACCATTAAAGAGATTTATCTTTTTATATGATAGATGTTCATTTGCGTATCGGCAAATGGGTTTTACTAAAACTCCTCATTTCGTAAATCTGAAACGAACGAGTAATTAATTTCCTGGCCAGGGAGAAACACACTCATCAATGTTTGTTGATGACAGTAGTTCCACCATCAGCAGCCGAGTATCTGATAAATCATTTTTCTGAGTTAAGCAACATTTAATATTCTCAAGCTAAATGAACATATTCGACATATATCTAGGATATATGTTCACGCGTAAAGCATGTCATACAAGTATACCCAGTATACCGACTTTACATAGGTCGCAACAATTACTAAGTTGTTAAAGGCACCATCTTTATGAATATTTCTATATAACTATAAAAAATAATTTTAATCACATATCGCTTATAATGTAAGGCTTACTTTGTGACAGGCTATATATCATTTCTGATAATGCAATATATCTTTGTAGTAGGATCGAGATATATGTGTAGTTTATTCGGAAGATGAAACGTAACCACGGACCGCTACGTGTTATTGCAATGTAAGCAAAGTGATCTGATTATATAAAGCTGTTCTCTATCGTTAATGTGCGTTACACATGTCACTGAAGGTTGACTCGGATCGGTAAACATGAACTTATCCAAGTTCACACATGATGAAATATTATGAGAAAGGATTAAATCATACCCGGATGTGATTCATATGTATGAATGATATGAAT